TTTTTAATGTGTTTTTTAGACGAGATTTTTATTGAATTATATGTTTTTCTTTACTTATAATCCATGTCTTAATTGTTATAAAAATTACTAATTGTTTTGTAAAAATTAATTAATTGTATTTCTCTCTCACTCTTTCTCTCCCTCTCCTGTAAACCACTTAATTGTAATTCATTTATACATTTCATACAATGTTTTTTCATTAAAACTAAACATTTCATTACATAAACCGAGCGTTGATTTACTTTTAACTACAATTAAAATTAAAACATCAATTAAAACAAAACTTTAAGTCAAGTAAAAACAACCATGCGCAAACTTTAAGTCAATTTAACCGGTTTAGCACCAATAATAGCGCAGGTATTTTATGTATTACATCATTGGAAATAAAACTTCACGTCTTTTAGAGGACGTACTAATTGGACGGACACTACGTTTTGGCCTAAAAAAGAAAAATCAGTGCTTTTTGTTGTTATTATTGTTATTTGTGTCACGTTTTGCGGCCGACGACTGACCGCAACATTCATAGCGCGGCCTAAATGGACTCCAAAGACGTGATTAAAGCGGAACCACTTGTGACCACTCGAGTGACGGCACCCGAAGTCCCGGCCGTCCGTCCGAAGAAACGGATTAAGCGTCGGACCAAACGCTTGACATTAAAGGTATTGATTATCTCATTCATTAACTTCTTGAGTAGTAACAGCCATGAGTTGATCCCAAACAACACTCGTAGAGACCGCTGAAGCCCAGGGCTAAGAAGATCCGGCCGATGATCGGCGACGGCAACACCATTGCGGCGTTGAGCCCGTCGTCAGCGTCTTCGGCCGCCATCGATGTCCGCATATCTATCAATAAGTTGGACGCCTCTGACGGTCGGCGCCGCAAAGTGCCGGTCGTACTGACGGACGGCTTCGATGACCGCACTTTCATCGCCCTCTTCGACGATAAGGACACCGACTTCGAGATCAAAGTGGATAACAGGTCTCCCGTTGTGGACATATGGATGGACATCACGTACGGCACGTTGAGGTCGTTTGTGATAAAGCGGCGCTCGTTTGAGACTTTCAACACCTTCGAAGACTGCGGCCATCGGCTCAGGTTTATGACACCCAACAGACCCAACGGCCGAACGTTTGCCCAAATGTTTCCCGCGGGAGAGATCGACGCCAACACTGAGATTGAGATTGTATCCAATCGGGTGAACATCGCGTTGAGCGCCGGCCACTCGTATCGGCCGAAGTTGTCCGCAAAACAGAAGGCTAAGAATGGGAGCCATAAACAGCCGTCGGTTATCACTGTTAACGTGAAACTCAAAAAACCCGATCGCACTGTGAGAGTGACAATCGATGGCCGCAAAACTGTCGGCCATCTGAAGAGTCTGTTGGGCAAGAAGTACGCGCCCGACGCCGACGGCAAAGAGGAGCTCGTGTTTGGCGGCAAATATCTCGCCGACGACACCCGTGTGGACGCGTCGGGTCTGCGGAACAACTCAACGATTCTGGCGTTTAGCGTAAGGCGTGAGTGCGAAGAAGAGGACACGCCTACCGGTGCCGGTCGGCCGCCACCGCCCACTAAACGTTTGATATATGTAAAAAGCGAGAGAGTGTATGACGTGGAGACGATGGCCGATTTGGGTCCGTCCGGCGCCGCCAGCAGAGGCGACAAAACCAACGACAAGTTGGGTCCGCCCCTCGACTTTAAAACGAGCCGTCGGTACGCCATCGAGTCCTTCGACATTGAACTCAGGCTTAGACACCAATACGAGAAAAAGATTCCCGCAATTCTGGCGCCCGCAGTGACCAACCCGTGACCCACACCTCATACTCACCGGTGATATTTATAGAGCCGTCGAATACCCGGTCTTATTAATCATTTAGCACTTGTTTTTACTAATTTTTATAATTGTTTAGCATTTATAGCTATTTTTACTGTTAATCACTTATTATGTTTATATTATAATCACAATTTATAACTGTTTAATTTGTTCAATGATTTGTTAATAATTAATTGTTTTGTAAAAATTCACTTATTTTCTCTCTCTCTCTCTCTCTCTCTCTCT